GTTGCAAAAATCGTGTGAACTAAGATAATTTTATACTTGTGAAACATGCATGTGGAATGTTTTTTGTGATTGGTTGAAATATTACTAAAATGGTTAAGATATGTGTTAAATTGAGGGAAATAATATTTGAAAGTACATAAATGGAGTTATTATTCAAAAGTGTTAGATATGTGTCAAATAATTGCTTGAAATGTGTCTGAAATGTTTGCGGTGTATGCATAAGTAATTTTTTGTAATTGATTGAAAGATAACTAAGATGATTAAAGATATGTGTGAATATTTATGAATAATATTTGAAAAATTGAAATTGAGTGAAATAACATAATTTTTTTAAAGATAGGCAAAAGATTTGTCTCATCCATTGATTAAAGCAGAAGAGAGTTGCCCGGTTAATTTACAAAAACTAGGCTAAAACCATCACAAACTGCCGAGCGGCACACACATGATACCCCCCACACACCTCAACACAGAAGATCTCGTTAAGATAACACTATGGTGTCATCATCATCACTTCTTCCCAACTGACGTCATCGCCCTCCTTAATCTTCAAGCAAGAGACTTCAAGCCGAAGACGAACGTTGACCCAACCCTCACCGTACAGGATGGGAATACAAGAAGACCCGCGCCAGCTTCAGCCACCGGCACGGAGGGCAAAATAGCTCCAACTCTGATGGAGAATTCCGAAGGAGAAATATGCAAGGTTGACACCACGAAGAACCGCCGCCACCTGTCATCATCACCACAGGGGCCCCATGCCCGCAGCTCCGACTTCATCACAGCAAAACAATCGAGGTAATATAATCCCATGGATACGCCGGAAAAAAGCCGACTACCACACCCATTGCCACGCATCCGACTTCGGTCGCATCCACCATCGTTGCCACAGAAGCCATGACAGCAACACCAAAGCCTTCCACTGGTCCCACTAGCGGATGCTCAACTCCAAGGACGAAGCCCTCAAGAGGGGAAACTACGCCAAGGCACTGCCATCGTCCGATCACACAGGATCAAGGGTTTCCCCCGGAACCGGATCCACGCAGGAGGGGTATGATAGCAGTGCAGTAGTGATGCCTCCAAGAAGGTGTACAATGCTCGCAGCCGCCACCATCGCTGGTCACAGGCCCACGACCGAGACAGGGTCTTCACCCAAGCTTCCACACCCAAAGCCGTACCTCAATCCGCATAGGGGCCAGCAAGACCACAAACCATCACCTCACATGAGCAAGCCTGGCGACAAAGAAGCCCAGATAAGCCACCGTAGCCAGTCGCACCCCGCAGAGACCATCGGCGAGCCGCCGGCCAGATCAGTTCATGGCTGATAGAACCAGCGCCACCGGTCGCAGGGGAGGTGGCGGCGCTGCTAGGTCTCTCCTAGGACGCACGTGGGAGTGACACCGGAGTGGACTGTGATCTCTCAATGTAACTTTTGCATGAAATAACATTTGAAAGCACACAAATGGAATCAATATTTGAAAGCAATGAAATTGAGTGTAAAAGATTGATTGAAATATGTGAATATTTATCAATTATACTACCTTCGTTCCAAAATATATGACGTTTTGGTACGCTAAACCAGTTTAGCCTACCAAAACGTCATATATTTTGAACCGGATGTAGTAGTTTGATTTTAGATTATTGTATTCAAAAGAGTTTATGAATTATGATTTGGTGTATTTTCTTTAATGTGATGAAATGTAAAGTACAAAATTCACACATATTTCAATGTTTTTGGTTAAATTTAAATCATTTTCATAAATTATTTAACACATATTCAATCATTTCACTCAATTTCTGAAAAAAAAATCAGTTGATTGAGATAGTGAAATTTATAGTAGTTTAAAATGTATCCAAGATTGGTCTTGTGCTAGCTCTTGTCACGAGGAATTGAAATATATGAAAAATAAAAGAATCTAGTTTAACAGATATCAATCATTTAAATTATCAAAGGGAAATAAAATGTATGGCTTTTGCTTGGCGAGAGAGAGGAGAAAGAATCGAATAAAACGCAAGCAACTGTCACTTCAATAACAAACACACAAACTCGGGATACCAACCAAACACACCAGAATTCGATTGGTGTTGGGGTGGACCGTCAGAAGTTGTTTCTAACCCTCAAGCATCAATAGAGGCAGCTCTTATTTCTAAAGACCTCGGAGCTTTTTGATGTTCATGTTCGAGAGGCAACGGTTATCTATGAGCGGCACGCTGCCATGGCCGTCAAGGAGCAGCTGACTTGGACAAGCAGCAGCCACTCGCCACCGATTCCGTTCATCAGCACCAGATGCATTACAACACACTGCTCAGTATAACAAATAAAGGTGGACTTACCACAGTTCTTGATTGATTGGGACCGTTAACTAAAATGTAACATTCTTAGATATCAAAGGAAGAACACAACATAGACATGGCACTGCCACACTCTGACAAAGAACATCCACATTGATGCTATAGTGATTAACCAAAACATAGGCATGACGAACTCCAGGCGAAGCTATGTAGATAGTGTCATCCTGTAAGGCACGCCACTGAAATCCCAGTTGTCTTCAGTTGAGAATGCTGATCTGATTACGGCTCCCCCAAACCTAAACAAACAAGATGAAAGTTTAGCCAAACAGAGAAGATTTTTGGGTCTAATTTGTACACATATTTAAGAGCTTACAAGCTTAAAGGAACGAATTATACGTATTGGCTAGATATAATAGCAGAATAGCATTCCTTCAACCAGTAAGGTTAAACATTCATCGCAACTGGATATGCAACCCTTTTGTGTGTTTAGCACCGAATTGCAATGCAGGCTGGAGCACATAGCCAGACAGAGGCATGTACACATAAAGAAACAAGCACCGAAAATCTTTGGTCATTCTAAACTGGTAGTTTAGTATTAGCAGGACTTCGGATATTTTATTACCTAGCTTAAGTCACTTAAGGAAATATATTAGGGGTTCTAGCCACAATCGACAAATGCTAGATGTGAAGCATGTAACTGATTTACATGACTTATTCAAATCACACAGTGTGAGAGCACACTTTTCTTTCTTTGTTATTCAGAGCAGTGACTCAGGCAGTTATTTGTGAAGGTTGTAATTAGGCAGAGATTTATCAAAACAGCATCATCACAAGAAAAGAAAAATTAAAGTGAAGATGACAAAAAAAAACCTTCCTACATCCTTATATTTATGAGAAGAAAGTGAACAAGATGTGTCCTTAACTGTAATTAATTTTCTAGATGTGAAAGTAAACACTCCAGAGGTACACTGGATCTATATTAGGATTACTTCTCCATTACCTGGGCCATAGAACAATTCCGCGAAAATGAATGTTGTGATAATTATAGTGGAAGCTTGAGACTATGTGAAAGATATTTATTTTGTACGATTCTCTTAAAACAGGAACTGAAACAAACACAGTTTTTGCAGGACTTCAGATTTTTATTACCTGGCTTAAGTCACTTAAGGAAATATATCATGGGTTCTAGCCACAATCAAAAAATGATAGATGTGAAGCCTATAACTGATTTACGAGACTGATTCAAATCACACAGTGTGAGGGCACACTATTTTTTCTTTGTTATTCAGAGCAGTGAATCAGGCTGTTATTTATGAACGCAGTAATTGAGCAGAGATTTTTTCAAACATCATCGAATTGGGCAGAGATTTTTTCAAACATCATCGAAAGAAAAGAAAAAATGAATGTGAAGATGACCAAAAGAAAAAACCTCCCTACATCCTTATATTTATGAGAAGTGGACAAGATGAGTCCTTAACAGCAGTTAATTTCTAGAGGTGAAAGTAAACACTCCAAAGGTAAACTGGATCTTAATTTGGATTACTTCTCCATTACCTTGGCCGTAAAAGATAAAAACTATTCCACGAAAATACATGTGGTGATTTCATGACTCCTAAAATGGTGGTGGAAGCTTGAGCTATGAGAAAAATATTTTCTTTAGTACGATTCTCTCAAAACAGCAACTGAAGCAAACAGGACAACAGATCGCTAATATGTTTACTTTCCCATGACTGAGCACAAAAACATAACCATTACTAAATCGTGTTAACAAGAATGACCAATTGCAACACTGAACAATTAAGCATTAAGCTTGAAGGAACAAATTATAGGCATTATATATTGGGCTAGATATAGAAGCAAAATAGCATTCGTTCCATCAGTAAGGTTCACCTCAACCTGATTTGAAATATGCAGTGTTGTTGTGTGTTCAGCTTCAGCACTGTAATTTGCAATGCAGGTTTGAGTACACATAACAAACTGGTAGCTTACTAGTGTTTGCAGAAGTTCAGATATTTTATTGCCTAGCTTAAGTCACCTAAGGATTATCAGGGGTTCTAGCCACAATCAACAAATAATAGAGGTGAAGCCTATAACTGATTTATGAGACTGATCCAAATCACACAGTGTGAGCGCACACTGTTTTTTCTCTGTTATTCAGAGCAGCGAGTCAGGCAGTTATTTGTGAACGCAGTAATTAGGCAGAGATTTTCCAAAACAACATCATCACAATAAAAGGAAAAATGAATGCAAAAATGACAAAAAGAAAAACTTACCTACATCCTTATATTTATGAGAAGCGGACAAGATGAGTCCTTCTTAACTAACTAACTTTCTAGAGGTTAAAGTAAGTAGCGACAACAAAGGTAAAATGGATCTACACTTGGATCGCTTCTCTATTACATCGGCCATAAAACTATTCCATAAAAATAAATGTTGTGATTACATGACTCCTAGAATGATAGTGGAAACTTGAGCTATGTGAAATATATTTTCTTTTGTATGCTTCTCTTAAAACAGGAATTGAAACAAACAAGACAACATATCACAAATATGCTCACTTTCCCATGATTGAGCACAAAAAACTAACAGCTACTAAATCGTGTAAACAAGAATGACCAATTACAACTGTGAACAATTAAGTATTAGACAATCCGTGTGAAAACTTTGAAGTGAAAGACATAACATAACTAGGATGCAGTAGAAAGTATACCACTTCATATTGTCGCCGAAGACAGCGACGGCGGGAAGTGGGCATATATGCGCTTCCTGGACAAGGAATTCCCAAAAGGCTTCAGACAGACCCTCTCAAGCTGCAACTTCTTGACGTCCACCGAGATATACTCCAAGTCTGGCATCTCCATAGACAAGCCGACAAACCGAGGGGCCTCAGAACATATCAGGAGCACATACCTCTCTGTTGCGGCTTTGATATAATTCAGGCCCTCAGAACCTAGTGCGAATGTCTTCACCATCTGCCATTGACCAGAATTCTTGCCTTTGTTACGCCTAACTGTATAGCAAAGGTCAGGTTTGCCACCTGCGGTTCCATCACGGATACCAAACAGCCCAAGCCTGCCTTCCCCTGCCTCCACAATGGCGACGCCTAGCGTGCCCCAACCAGAGGATGGGAGCTTGGCGATGGAGAACTCCATCCTCCGGATGTTGAGCACAAGCAACTCTCTCCTCTTGATGAGGGTGGACTCCCAGTAGAAGCAGCCATAGGCGTGATGCCGCCTGAGATAAGTATGGTCCATCGGCGACACTGGCATGGCCGACCAAAGCATGGGTGCCGCGGCTCGCCACTGCCCGGTGGTCGAAGAGAACACAAATGGGGCCAGCTTAGTCTCGCAATGCACCGTAGACATCACCATGAATGCCGTCCCTTCCGCGGCCGTGTCGTTCTCGCCGAGGGGAAGGAGGAGAGGCTCGTCGAAGGGCCTGCGCCGCACGGGGGGCGGGCGCTCCGCCGAGGCAATGAGGGCATCGGGCACTGGGGGTAGCAGGACGTACCGGCGGTGCAGGGGGTCGCACACCGCGAGCTCCCTGCAGATCGGGGGCCGCGCGTCCTGCGCGTGGTCGCAGCCGAGGAGGACGCGGCCGTCACGGACGTCCATCGGGACCCAACGGCAGTGGGAGGGGAGGAAGGAGAGTTAATTGCACGTTGGTACCACACTTGCTCACCCACTCACGAATCAGTACCACTACTTGTGCATGTAGCAGTTAAGTACCAACTCAGGGCCTAAGTGATGCATAACGGGCTGACAGCCATATAAGTGAGTATTGACCGCGTATCCGACAGGTCGGGCCCACATGTCAGGTGACACGCTGGCCGAATCGGCGCGTGCCCTGTGCGCTGACTAGGACGAGGCCGGTGCGGTCGGTTACATGGGCTCAGTCGGACTCGCCTCACTCTCGCTCGACCTCACTCTCACTCTCGCTCTCCCTCCTCTCTCCGATTCGCCGCCGCCCTCCGCCTGCTGCCGCCGCCACCTCAACCGGCTCGCCGTTGCGCCATGGAGGAGGAGAGCAGCCAGGACTCAATCGCGTAATACATGAACCTCTCCGACGACGAAGCCATGCATTACCGGGTGAGTTGTAGAGCTAGGGTTAGGGTTGGTTATCAGATTTGGGGGGATTTGATTTGATTTGGGGATTTTGTTTTCCTTTTGTTCCTGTAGATCCCTGCTAGCATTGAAGACGAAGACTACAGTGGCATTGAGACAGCATCCAGAGTTCTTTGCCATCAGCATGGTGTGGCGGCTGAGAGGCGTGTAGCATTCGAAGCATTTAACACGGGTAGGAGGTTCTTAGTCTGTCCTATGAGTGTAAGATTCTGTCCAAACTCTGTGTTAATGGTATTGTTTAATCTAGCCATGTGCATAGAATTGTGCAGTCCAGTGCATGGAATTCATGTTCTTTAATCTAGCCATGTGCTGATGCACATTGTTTAATGAGTACTCTTGTACCATAGCTCTGATGGTCATTTTGTAGCTGTGTGAGGGTCATTTTGTAGCCATTTAGTACTACTGGTGCTAATCAGTGGATTAGAAAATGCTTGCAGTACAAGAGTACTCACTTTGCAAATTATTTGATTGTTTAAGGTCAGAGAGATTCAATGTCAGAAGCTTAAAGTTCAGCTAGTGTTATATTATTAAAGTTGGCTATATTATTAAAGTTGTTTCCCAAGGATGCTTAAAGTTCACTTTTAATTCAGTGGCTAGTCATTTAGGGTCCTACATTGTTTTAAGATGCTCATGCTATGGTTGTTTATATTGCAGGAAGATGACAACTGTGGTGTTTGTAAGGGCATATTTATCCCTAAGTGTTTTGGTGATTGATGACAATGCTTGTGCGGACTAATCGTGTGCCTTGAGTCCCTCAGATACTTCATCATTAGGCACAAGACGATTCGGTGCCCCTCGGAGACTGTTGAAGCCGGCATTGTTCTACGTTTCTCTTTGGTGGAGTTGAGTCGTAGGAGAGCCGTACTATTAAGAGGGGGTCCGCATCGGAAAGGTAGGGTGGAATCACACGTACACTTGTCCCTCCTTTCCTTGCACTTTGGAGCTACCCGTCGTTATCTTGGTTGTGTGGAAAACTGGCGACTACTGATGTACTTGCGGTAGTACCGCAGGTACAAGCGGTAGTACCGCGGCGTGTCACGGTAGTACCGCCCCTTTGGTGTGGTAGTACCGCGGCACCCTGGCCTAGTGCCGCTCCGGTGCGGCAGTAGGGGCGGATGTAATTTTTTACATCCGCGCTCCCCACGGTAGTACCGTTCGTCCAGCGCGGTAGTACCGCGGGGGCCCACGGTAGTACCGCTCCCTAGGAGTCGTAGTACCGTGGCCCCTCGGCCTAGTACCGCAGTGTCGCGGTAGTAGGCGCGGATGTAATTTTTTACATCCGCGCCGACCACGGTAGTACCGCGCCTCGCAAGCGGTAGTACCGCGTCGGGTTTTTGCACCACCCTAGTTTCTGCGGAAGTAGGCACGGATGTAATTTATTTCATCCGCGCCCTTCCCAGGCCGTGACCCTCTTGCCTTGCGGTAGTACCGCAAGGGGGAGCGGTAGTACCGCGCAAGCGGTAGTACTGCTCCTTCGTCAGGCTTGTTCCGGCCTGTGCAGTTGCCACGGTAGTACCGTGGTGGTCCACGGTAGTACCGCGCGGTGCCGCGGTAGTACCGCTTCCTTGGAGCGGTAGTACCGTAAGTCGCGGGCAGAACTTGTGGATAACGGTTGGATTTTTTCCACGACTATATAAGGGATGTCTTCTACCTCTAGTTGACTACCTCTTCCACCTCTAAGCTCCATTGTTGCTCCAAGCTCCATTTTCGCCCGATCTCTCTCCCTAGCCAATCAAACTTGTTGATTTGCTCGGGATTGGGTGACAAGGGCCCGATCTACACTTCCACCAAAGGATATTTGATTCCCCCCACTTATCCCTTGCGGATCTTGTTACTCTTGGGTGTTGAGCACCCTAGACGGTTGAGGTCACCTCGAAGCCATACTCCATTGTGGTGAAGCTTCGTGGTGGTGTTGTTGTTGGGAGCCTCCGATTGTTGTGGAGTTTGCCCCAACCTTTCTTGTAAAGGTTCGGTCGCCGCCTTCAAGGGCACCAATAGTGGAATCACGGCATCTCGCATCGTGTGAGGGCGTGAGGAGAATACGGTGGCCCTAGTGGCTTCTTGGGGAGCATTGTGCCTCCACACCGCTCTAACGGAGACGTACTTCCCCTTAAAAGGAAGGAACTCCGGTAACACATCCTCGTCTCCATCGGCTCCACTCTTGGTTATTTCGTGCCTTTACTTTCGCAAGCTTACTTATTGTTACATCTCTTGTTTGCTTGCGTGCTAGTTGATATTGCATCATATAGGTTGCTCACTTAGTTGCATATCTAGACAACCTATTTGTTGCAAAGTTTAATTTGGTAAAGAAAAGCTTAAAAATAGTTAGTTGCCTATTCACCCCCCCTCTAGTCAACCATATCGATCCTTTCAATTGGTATCAGAGCATCGTCTCTTTATTAAGGACTTTGCCGTCCGAAGAGTATGGTTGACACCAACGATGGTGCGGAGGAACACTCCGGTGTAAATCCCATCTCGTCTTCGGCCGAAGGGGGAACCTCGGTCTCTCGTGAGGAATTCAATGTGGCTTTAGACACATTGAAAACCTCCATGACGGCCGAGGTTAAAAGCATGTTTAATGATTTTCTAGAGGGACTTAAACTATCTACCGCGCCTATGAAAGTGGGTGATCCTACTAACAAGGTGACGGATGCTATCTCCGACAAGGGGGAAGCTAACAATGAAAAGAGTCCTTCTACTAGTGGTAGAAATGGCACCGGCATCTTTGCCCATGTGGAACCCCCGGTCTATAAAGGGCCAATCCCCTCCACTCATTTGAATCATGCCGGTCCACCTCCTAAATATGAGAAACATGAAGATTTTGATAATTGGGTCTATCGCTTTAAGCGTCATTTGAAACATGTGAATACTAACCTTTGGAGAATCATTGAAGAAGGTTTTTACCCTCATGACCCAAGCAACTTCACCCCTCGAGAAGACGTGGACAATCAATTCAATGAGAGTGCTCTCTTCATAATCCAAGATGCAATTCTTCCTGAAGATCTCCCTCATCTTCGACCCCATGTCGTGGCTAAAGAAGCATGGAAATGTGTTGAGGGTCTCTACCGTGGAAGTGCTAGCATTCAACGCTCCAACTATGAAGTGGTGCAAGATGAAGCCGATGAGTTTGCAATGAAAGAAGATGAAGAACCCCGTGAGCTCTTCCGAAGAGTGACCAAACTCGCGGTCGTACTTCGAGATCATGGAAGCAAGGACACGGATGACAATTGGATCAAGCGGAAGTTCCTCAAGGCCATGATGCCCTACAACAAGGCCATGTCCTCCGTCATTCGTCAACGACCGGACTTCCACACCATGACATCAAGTGAAGTGTTGGATGAGTTCGTTGCAATGAGCATCTTGGACAAGACCGCCAACAATGCGGTGCTCCGTTCTCAAAGAGCAAAGAAGCCTAACCTTGCTTTGAAGGCCAAGGTTATTATGGAAGAAGAGGAAGAAGTGGAAGATGAGGAAAGCAACCCCGAAGACACCAAGTTTGACTATCATGAGCACATGGCCCTTGCTTCAAGACAATTTTGGAGCAAGAAGAGCTCAAGACCCAACTTCAACAAAAACAACTCAAGTGGCGTCAAGGGCAAGCAACAAGTTAGAACTTGCTTCAACTGTGGCAATGTGAGCCATTTCATTGCGGATTGTCCTTACGAGAAGCGGGAAGACAATGGTGGCAAGTTCATTCGGAAAGACAAAGCCAAGTTCTTCCCCAACAAGAACAACTTTGCCAAGAAGACTCCCTCTCGTGGGTTGGTGGTTCAAGAAGAATACCAAGAGGATGACGATGATGATGAGAATGAAGAAGCAACGGCCATGGCGTCCATTGCCATTGCTACTCCCCGGGTGTCTCTCTTCGAATCACCCAACGAAAACATCACCGCTAGATGCCTCATGGCTAAGGCTTCAAACAAGGTAACCCCCAACATCACAACCACCATCATTACTAATCCCTCCGTGGAGGATTGCATTGATGGACATGTTGAGTCTAATGAGGAAGTGAATGAATTTGAGTCTTTTATGAGTAAGCTCAAGGGAAAGTCCAAGAAGCACTTTGTTGCTCTCTTGGAACAACTTGGTGAGGCCAATGACATGATCGAGGCTCACGAAGAAACCATCTCCAAGATGGAAGGTCATAGTCATGACTATGCCGATGAGATATCGGATCTCTCTAATGCTCTTGAGGAAGAGCGTGTGCATAGTTTGACTCTTGAGGAGTCACACAATGATGACCATGCTAAGTTAAAGAAAGATCTTGATCATGCTCTTGTCATGTCTCGTGTGCTAACCTCCGAGAAGGCTAAACTTGGGGTTGATCATGCTAGACTCAAAGAGGAGTTTGAGATACTTGACAAGGCCCACAAGGTCTTGAAGGGTACTCATGCTAGCCTCAAAGAGTCTCATGCTCAACTCCAAGTTAAGCTAATCAAGGAAAAGGCCACCTTTCCTCATATGGTATTAATTGATAATGCATGTGCTACTAACCCTTGTTTTGAGCATGTGCATCTTGTGGAGGAAAATGCCAAGTTGAAGGATCAACTTGAGAAAGGCCTTGTGACTTGCATTCAAGGTAAGAAAAACCTCAACGACCTTTTGAGCAATCAAAAGGAAGTTGTGGCCAAAGAAGGAATTGGGTTTGCACCCAAGTCCAAGAGCAAGAAGAAGAAGAACAACAAGGCCAATCGTCCTCCTCCCCTCAAACAAACGTTCGTGAAAGAGGGAGAGGGTGCTTCTAAGAAGAAGAAGGAGAAAGTGAAGGAAGTTGATGTCCAAAAGGGCAAAAGCATTTCCTCAAACAAAGCCGGCGAGTTTAACCCTTCATATGTGTTGTGTCGTGCTAGTGATGGACATGTTTATGCTAGATTTGTTGGTTCCTCTTATGAATACATTGAATGGTCTATTGGGGTTCCCAAGACCCTTGTTACTAACATCAAAGGACCCATTACTAAATGGGTACCTAAAACCAAGCATTGATCTCGTGTAGGTGTTTGCTTCTGGTGGGGGATCATGGTTGCTCGATAGTGGAGCAACAAATCATATGACCGGGAGCAAGGACTTGGTGGTGGACGTGCAAGAGATTCCATCTATGCCCACCAATGTCGAGTGGGGTGATGCATCACATTCTAAGGTATTGGGTCTCGGCAAGGTTGTCATTTCTCATGATCTAACGATCGAGAAAGTCATACTTGTTGAGTCCCTTGCATTCAATTTACTTTCCGTTCGTCAACTTGCACTCATGGGCTTTGCTACATTCTTTGATATTGATACCGTGGCCCTCTTGTGGAGCAAGACTCTTAAAGTAGCCTTCGTTGGGCATGTCGAGAACGGTCTCTATGTGGTTAACTTTTCGGAGCAACCCACTAAGACCGCGACATGCCTAATGGCTAAAGTTGACGTGGGATGGCTTTGGCATCGCCGTTTAGCCCACGTCAATATGAGATCTTTGCAAAGTCTTCTCAAGGGGGACCATGTCCGTGGACTAACAAATGTTAGTTTTGCCAAAGATCGTGCTTGCAGTGCTTGTATCGAAGGAAAGCTTCATGAAAAGGCTCACCCTCCTTCAACCATCATCTACTCAAAGAGACCCTTGGAGCTCCTTCACATGGATCTCTTCGGGCCTCCATCTTTTGATAGTCTTGGAGGAAGAAAGTATTGCTTGGTGATTGTGGATGATTATTCAAGATACACTTGGGTATACTTCTTCAAGAGGAAGAGTGAGACCCAACAAACCGTCATCAACTTTGCAAATGAAGCTCAACGTCAACATGATGCAAAGATCTTGACAATAAGAAGCGACAACGGCACCGAGTTCAAGAACTACACCTTGGATGCGTTTCTTAGTGATGAGGGGATCAAGCATCAATATGCGGCACCTTATACCCCTCAACAAAATGGTGTTGCGGAGAGGAAGAACCGGACGTTGATGGATGCGGCAAGAACCATGATGGCGGAGTTCAAGTCTCCGTACAACTTTTGGGCCGAAGCCATCAACACCGCATGTCATGCATCCAATCGGCTCTATCTTCGCAAAGGCTTGAAAAAGACTCCTTATGAGATTCTCACCGGCAACAAGCCCAACCTCAAGTACTTCCGGGTGTTCGGTTGTAAGTGTTTCATTCTCAGGAAAGGTGTTCGGTTGTCTAAATTTGAGGCTAGAGCTCATGAGGGCATATTTGTTGGTTATGCTACAAACTCTCATGCTTACCGTGTCCTCAACAAGTCCACCGAACTCATTGAGGAGACGTGTAACGTGGAGTTTGACGAAAATAACGGCTCCCAAGTGGAGCAAAGTGGTACTTGTGATATAGGTGATGAAATTCCTCCCCAAGCCATAAGAAGAATGGGTATTGGTCAAATCCTACCCATTGAGGAACCCCTTGTGGCCGAAGGAGAAGGACAATGCTCTACTCAAGTAGAGCCATCACCTCATCAAGACCCACACGCTTCCGAAGAACAAAGTGAAGGCCCTCAACCTCGTGAACAAGACCAAGGGCAAGATCTACCTCAATACGGTGGTGAACTACTAAAAGATGCCCAAGGTCAAGTTCTCCCCCTCGAGCGAGTTCAAGATCAAGAGCAACCTCAAGATCAAGAACAAGCTCAAGACGACGCTCAAGATCATCAAGTCAACCCTCCTCCTTCCACACCCGAGGAGGAATTAGAGCGTCGTGCCGTGAAGATTGCTTCCAAGCTCACCACTCAAGGCCATCTCATGGAAAATGTGGTTGGAAGCCTAAGAAAGGGGGTAAGCACTCGTAGACAATTGGCAAACTATTGTGAACATCACGCGTTTGTCTCTTGTGTCGAACCCCAAAAGGTCTATGAGGCGCTCGAAGACTCGGATTGGCTCAATGCCATGCATGAAGAACTCAACAACTTCGAGTACAACAAGGTGTGGAGATTGGTGCCAAGACCATCCGGGAACCACAACGTCATTGGAACCAAGTGGATCTTCAAGAACAAGCAAGATGCTCATGGGAACATCATTCGCAACAAGGCAAGATTGGTAGCACAAGGCTACTCCCAAGTCGAGGGTATCGACTACGGTGAAACCTTTGCTCCCGTTGCTCGTCTTGAATCCATTCGTTTGTTGATTGCTTATGCTTCCCATCACAACTTTAAGTTGCAACAAATGGATGTGAAAAGTGCTTTTCTTAATGGTCCTATTAATGAGTTGGTCTATGTCAAGCAACCCCCCGGGTTCGAGGATCCCTACTTTCCGGATCATGTGTATCAACTCGATAAGGCACTCTATGGCTTTAAACAAGCCCCACGTGCGTGGTATGACCACCTTACCGAGTTGTTACAAGATCGTGGATTTGAAGTAGGGCTAATCGACCCCACTCTTTTTACTAAGAAGGTCAACGGGGAGTTGTTTGTATGCCAACTATATGTTGATGATATTATCTTTGGTTTCCCTAACAAAGCTTTCAATGAAGAATTTGCCGCTCTCATGACCTCCAAGTTTAAGATGTCTTCGATGGGAGAGTTGAAGTTCTTCCTTGGTTTCGACATCAAACAAAGAAGAGAAGGAACCTTCATCAACCAAGCCAAATACACTCAAGACATGCTTAAAAGATTCAAGCTAAGTGATGTCAAGCCGGCTACTACACCAATGCCTACCAAGTGCCAACTTGACATCGATCCCAATGGTAAAGCGGTGGATCAAAAGGTATATCGCTCCATGATTGGCTCCTTGCTTTACCTTTGTGCATCTAGACCGGATATCATGTTGAGTGTGGGGATGTGTGCATGTTTTCAAGCCGCACCAAAGGAAAGTCACTTTGTGGCGGTCAAGCGAATCTTTCGATATTTGGCTCATACCCCAAACTTTGGCTTATGGTACCCAAGAGGAGCAAACTTCAAGCTTGAAGGTTTCACGGATTCCGATTGGGCGGGAGACAAAGTGGATAGGAAGTCCACTTCCGGAGGGTGCCAATTTCTTGGTTGCTCCTTGGTAAGTTGGTCTTCCAAGAAGCAAAGTTGTGTGTCTCTCTCGTTCACCGAAGCGGAGTATGTGGCGGCCGATAGTTGTTGTGCTCAACTCCTATGGATCACTACTAGAAAAACCCCTACTAATGGCGCACCTAATTTGGCCATTAATGGCGCATCAGTGGTGCGCCATTACTAGCACGCCATTAGTAATTTTTACTAATGGCGCACCACTGGTGCGCCATTAGTATCTGGTATACTAATGGCGCACCACTAGTGCGCCATTAGTATGCCTCCCAGGGGCCATGTATACACAGGTGCTTTGGCATACTAATGGCGCACTACAATGGGATGCGCCATTAGTGACCGCGGCATACTAATGGCGCACTGTCCAGTGATGCGCCATTAGTATGCTTTGTCATACTAATGGCGCGCTGTCATGTGATGCGCCATTAGTATGAATATTAGTTTTTTTTTATTTTTTATTTTCTGTTTTTTGCACAGGTTACAAAATGTATAATTTGACAAAATATAAACATCACACATTACTAGTTTAAACTAATGGCGCACTCTGTCATGCACTGTCCGATCGCGACGTCCAACCAAAACCAATCACTCTCACATTCACGGACACAACAGTGACTGCCACCGCTAGGCTGTACTTGAAAAAATCGGATGATCAACATGTGGATTTTCACCCAGACAGATAATTTTAACCCACTGCATCCATCAGAGGACATGGCCAAAATCTGAATTCCTCCACAGGCCTTGACACAGGCCAGCGAGATCCAGTTCTGAATTTCATGATGTTCTGAATACAGCTACAGCTTGTATATCATCAGTCAAGCGCATAATCATCGACACGCCAACAGATTTCTCAGTTGCTAAAACAAGAGGAATTTCCCGCTAAACAACATAACGAATGAAATCAAAAGGGCTTCATGAGTGAGTAAATGTTAAGGAACAGTTTGGTTCGCAGGGCAGTTCCAATGGGGAACATAAACTGGAGGAGGGAGTGTGGCTGGCTGTATAGCCCATGCTTCTCTGACATGAACATCTCCCGCCTTCGCTCCTACAACAATAGATATGCGCCGCTTCCAGCGCGGGAGAGGGGATCGGATCCGCGCTAGCCAGCCAGTCAATCATCCCCTGCCGTGCAATCTCTAAAATGGTGCTGGCTTCGGCGGCAGATGGACAGAAGGAGGTCGTGTGGGAATTGAATGGTGCTGATGACGATCAACACTTGCCGCAATAACTTACAAGCTCGATTTCGTCGAGTCACCGGATGTAGCTCCTAACAAATGATGTCGCTCCAATGCTACTTAAGCTGTCAGAACTCTGTATATAATAGGAAAAAGGAAAGCAGTTAGAGGAACGCCGCCTGAAGTGGAGTTATATAGACAGGAAAACCATATTTTCAAACATCAAGCAAGTACCTGGGACTTGGGAGACGGAAACACGTTCCAAAACCGGAGCGTCTCGTCACCAGCACCAGTAACAATTGTCTGTTGATGTCGATATTGACAAGAAAAAAGAACAGTGAGAACAAATTACACTAGACACCTCTAACAGAAGAACAGAACTAAAACAAAATGTCAGATCCATAGCATATATAGGGATCAAAGAGGGAGTATTTCACCTGTCCATCAGGGGAGATGGCTAAATATAATACTCTGAATGTATGTCCTGTCAACGTGGCAAGCTATACAAATAGAGAGAATGGACACAATTAATAACAAACGAGAGACAGTATGGTATAAATGAGCTACAGTGTAAGCTTGTGGCATACCTTTGACATCGTTGGATACCGCCACACTATTATCTGATTCTGGGAGTATCCGTGTGTGCTAACAAGCTCATTCACATTCTTTGACCACACAAGATTACAGACCTGTTAAGACATTTAGCATAATCAGTACATGTGAAGAGCAGCATGTTTTTAAATCTACCCCTTCCACAATTCTACATAAGCAATCCCATGCCTTCAGAACACATGATATCTGTGCAGGTCTCTAACATGACAACTACAAGAATCAATTTTATCTACAGCTACAAAAACATAGCAATTAAAATGTCCATAGACTGTTTCCAAAAGGAATCCATGATGCCATTTTGATATAAATTTGGTGCTTTCTAGAAGGATGGGACTATAAGGACTTCGGTTGCATTATATTAGAGCTGTATAGGTGATCCAAAACTTCAGTTTTTGTACAACAGAGCTCAGCCAGTCTTGATCTTTTCTGATTTTTGCAGGAAAACTAGTGAATTGGTATGACTGAAGTATTCAGTCAGTAACGGTGCTAAAAGGTTCTGAGAGTTATCCGGCTTAAGAGTAGATATGATTATACTTGAAATTTTGAAGTGCAAATAAGAAATCAATTTAATTCAAAAACACAAACAAGGGCTGCATGTAGCTGATAGATAAACTAGATAGCTAGATTATTACCTGACTCCCTGTATCCATGGAACTCAAGTGTGTATTTGTGGTCGTATTCCAAAATCTTATGCACCTATCTGCAGTTCCACCACCAGATGCAAGAAGGCCGTGTAGATGAGGTGACCAGGCAATAGCTTTCATAGCTGCTGTGTGCTCAGTATACTTCAGCACTGGCTGTACTGAATGTTGATTCCAAACAAAAAGCTGGTAAAAGAAAGAAAAAAATAGCATGAGCAAAAGAAGACCCACTGGTAGAAAAAGAGGCTTCCGTCCAGCCCCATTAGTCGCGAAACTGTAGGAACCGCGACTAATGAAGTCTTTAGTCGCGGTTCGGCAGACGAACCGCGACCAGATCCTGAACATCATATGCCATGCACTTTACTGTGATGGAAACTTATGGATATGAATCTTACTTTGTTGTCGTTTCCACCAGATGCAAGCTGACGGTTATCATAAGACCACTTGAGCCCACAGACCTGAGAAGTTCAGAAATTCATAAGTAAATTATAAATTATTTGGAATTGCAAAATGGAGGGCCAATATGGTGATCCAAACGTTGGACAGACTAGTAAAAGATTGTAATGATGTACATAACATGCCATATTATATGAATAGTCAGGGGAATATTACCTCAGATTTATGCCCGGTGAGTTTGCTAACATAGTCCTCCGGAGCACGGAGATCATGATGAAGGATGTTCTTGTCACGACTGCCAGAAGAAAGCAATGAAGAGTTCCATGCAAGAGCACCTACTCGCATGCGATGGCTTTCCATGGTTCTCATTCTTTTACAGCGTGTTGCATCCCATATCTAAATAAGATAACATCGAAGATGATAATCAGGAATTCAGAATTTAGACACCCTTGGAATGTCAAATTGTTATACCAATACCAAACATCAACAGGATTACTAAGTTTTACCAACCGAAATACTATGGGCAAATCAAGAAAGCAAATCAAGAAGAAACCATGAAATCGGAAGTAATCGACCAACCTTGTAGGGCGACCTGGGGATCTTCCTGGGGCCGGAGCCCTTGGGGGTGAAGATGCCGGGGAAGAGCAGGTCCTGGTCGTCCCCGCCGGCGAAGAGCGCCCGCTTGGCGTTCCTCGGCACCTCGGCCTTGAAGCGGAATATGTTGCCGCCGGCGGGGGAGCCGACGGGGGAGGCCGCGGAGGAGGAGGAGGCCCCGGCGGAGGAGGCGAGGCGGTCGGGCATGTCGGGCCCGAAGAGCGCCGCGCGGAGGAGCGCGCAGTAGGGTGAGGGGGGAGCGGCAGATCCGGAGGCGGAGGAGGAGGGGGCCGGGGCGAGGTCGAAGAGCGCGAGGTTGGATCTGGTGCGGCTGGGGATGAAGCGGTCGCTGTAGATGGCACACCGCGTGTGAGTGCGCCATTAGTACTTTTGCAAAAAAAGGAATAAAAAAATAACATTAGTGGCGCACTTTCTGGCTGGTGCGCCATTACTAGTTACAACTAGTAATGGCGCACTTACTATGGATGCGCCATTAGTATGTTTGGACAGGCGTACTAGTTCAAAAAAAATTGATACTAATGGCGCACCGTGGACATGGTGCGCCATTAGTAGTTTCAACTCTAATGGCGCATCAGAAGGTGGTGCGCCATTAGTATATACTAATGGCGCACCACTTGTCTGGTGCGCCATTAGTGTCAATCCCATCTATAGCCCTTTTTCTAGTAGTGGATGAGGCAAACTTTAAAGGAGTACGGTGTCATTTGTGACAAAGTGCCTCTTTGGTGTGATAATGAAAGTGCCATCAAGATTTCTCTCAACCCGGTGCAACACTTCAAGACGAAGCACATTGAGATTCGGTATCACTTCATCCGGGATCACATTAGGCGAGGGGAGATCAAGCTCAAGTATGTCAACACTCATGATAACCTTGCAGATATTTTCACGAAGCCCTTGGATGAAGCAAGATTTCGCGAGTTAAGGCATGAGCTAAATATCATTGATTTGAGCAATGTGACTTGAACCCGTGCACCCCCCACCACACTCAACTTGTTGTCTAGTTTAGGTGTAGGCATGGACATAGGGGGAGTGTTGTTCTCTCAATGAACTCTCCCTCCCCCAATTATGCATAAATAGATCACCTCTTTCACATTAGCCATTTTTTATGGTACTTGTGCTTCAAAGACGAGTTTTGGTCATGGGCCCAAGGATAATTCTTCGCGGTGCCATACCATCCAAATCAAACATAGGTGGCTTCGGCCACCGCCCTGTCTCCTCGAGAGGCTTTGTCACTTAGGGATTTCCTGTTGTTCCCTTGGTATGTGCTTGTTTTTGTAGTTTTGGGTGTGTGTTTGTTTTTCCGTGCAAAGGCGTATTTTTTCTCTTGGTTGAAACCTTCGGTGTCGTGAGATCACGGTACTACCGCGGTCGGCCACGGTACTACCGCGGTCGGCCACGGTACTACCGCGGCCAACCACGGTACTACCGCTGATAGGAGCACGGTACTACCGTCCCCAAGCGGCAGTAATTTTTTACTGCCGCCTGGTTGAGCGGTACTACCGCCTCGGCGCGGTACTTCCGCCCGAGCGGTACTACCGCGATGACTCACGGTACTACCGCGCCGGTTCGAGCACGTGGGGATAAGGCCGGGCAGGGGGAGTTCTAACTCCCCATAGCCATTCGTCCTCTTTCTCTCCACGTCGTCTCTTCTCTCCCGTGCTCACGAACGGAGCCGGCGTTCGTCGTCGGATCTCCTCCACCAGCTGCCCTCCCGTGATTCCGTCCGGTGGGATCGTTCCCCACCACGTGCTCTTGCTATGGACCAAGGTTTTTCCCCAAATCCTTCTCCTTTTTGATTGTGTTTGGTTCTTCTAGGTTTTGGGGGAGGCTTGTATGTTCTTGAGATTCCTAGACTAAATCTCTGCAAGAGTAGGATGAAGGAGTGTGGTATTGCATAGGATTTACACTTGTATTGTTGTCTTGCGCTAGATCTGATCACCGTAGCACCGCCATGGCTTCGCGGTTCTTTTTCAGATTCAAATCTTGTTCGATCTGACGTGACGCGGTACTACCGCCTGTAGGGAGCGGTACTACTGCTCGCACGGTACTACCGCCCCTAGGGCGCGATACTACCGCGCACCATGCGGTACTAAAAGTTTACTACTGCCCCAGCCACGGTACTACCGTGACCCCGCACGGTACTACCGCGTCTGGAGCTGTACTAAGCCTTTAGTACCGCAAACCATGGCAGATCTACCGTGGCTCACATCTATCGCATGCCAACTTTCTCGTTTATCTTCTATGGGTTTCATGTGCTGTCTTATGGCCTTTGCATTGATTCTTTTCGCCTTTTGTTTTGGTGCTTTGCGTGTGTGTCTCAGGTGGTGGCTCTCGTCGGTCCAATCCCATTCGTGACACTGGCTCCAAGCGTCTGCGCAACCCAGGAGAAGTTCCCGATGGATCGTCTGCGTCCAAGCGAAATGTCAAGACCACAGCTAGCAAGCACAAGGAGCCCGCCAGGGGTATGGATGAGATAGTCCCTATAGAGTATGTCCGTCTCAGGCAGCTTCACCCTTATGTGACCCCACGCTCCACTGTCAGAGGGTGTGAACTGGTCTGGAACAAGACCCAAACCCAAATCTATTTGGATGTCATCAAGAATAAGCAGAATACCTATGTTGAAGTGAGGTGGATTGATATGCACCACATGAGGAAGGACAAGTTCCGTGACTACTTTGGGGAGGCTCTGGACTTGGTGGAGCAGTTTGGCATTGAGCATGTGATCTCTTTCCACCTGGACTATGACCCTGAGATCATATGTCAGTTCTTTGCTTCAGTGTACTTTCACTCCAATGAAGAAAGAAGGATGACCTGGATGACCAATGGCCGCAAGCTGTCTGCTACCTGGAAGGAGTTCATGGATTTGCTTCAAGTTGCTGATGATGGACTTGACACTCCTGTGGGTGTTCGCCCTCATGGCAATGCTGACTCTGCCGACAAGGACAAGCTCACCCCGTTCATGGTTGAGAAGACGCTCGCCAATAGCAAGACAATTTTGGTTCTCAACTCCTTTCTGGATATCATGTACCGCATCTTCCGCAACTCCTTGTTCCCACACATCGGTGACAAAGACAAGGTTTATGCATATATGGTGGACATGATGCTTATTTGCCAGGAGGCTCGCTCGTCTCAGACTCAGCCACTTGATGTCTCTCACATCATGTGGTGTGAGCTTCGGTTTGCTGTGTTCAACCGCAAGGTGCCTATTTATGGGCCCTACCTGTTTCTGCTGATTTCAAAGACTTTGGGAGAAGATGTACCCTAAGGAGGAGTTCCTGGCTCCAGACTGGATTCGCCATGAGCCCATTTGTCTGCGGGTCAAACCCAACTTGGCTAACACCGCTACTCGTGCTGAGGCGTCTGCTGCTAGGGCTGCTGCTGTTGATGAGGATATTGCTGGCGCCGAGGATGTTGCTGAGGGCCATTCTGCTAGGCCCTCTCAGAGTGACTCTAGGCCATCTTGGGCCAAGAAGTTGAAGGATAAGATGAAGTCTCTTTTCTGCATGCAAGCCAAGGGCCAGTACAGGGCTCATGTGGAGTCCAAGGAGAGTCGTCGTCGGCACAACAAGGTCTTGCAGCTCTATGGCAAGGATGTGTCTGGCGGGTCTGAGGAGCACATCACTCCTGAGACCGAGTGGATGGAGAAGCAAGGATACAAGTGGACTGATTCTGAGGAGGAGGTCGAGGAGTCCATTCCAGCTGCAGAGGCGTCTGACGAAGAGGCTTGGGACGACTTCTCTGCTTGAGCCACCTCTTGTGTGTGTAGGTGTCCTCTCTGCCTTTTTGGCGTCTCGATACCAAAGGGGGAGAGAGTGTAGGGATTTGCGAGTTTGCGAGTCGTGTGTTTGCTGCTTTCTCAATTGAACTCTTTGCTGTTTTTCTCGTTTGAACCTTGGTTATCTTACTTCGTATGGTATAAGACATATGCACTCTATCTATCCTAGCAAGCTTGTATTATATTGTGCTATCTTCATGCTTTGCTATGCTTATTATCATGTCTTGGTCTCTAAAATATAGGGGGAGTGTTGATCCTAGTTTGTGTGCCATGCAGTCCAAAGCATTCATCTAAAGTGCACACATCTAGGGGGAGCCCGTCTATATTTTAGAGAGGTGGGGTTTGCCCCTGCTCTAAATTAACTTATCTTTGTGCAAATCCCGTGTTGTCATCAATCCACCAAAAAGGGGGAGATTGTAAGGGCATATTTATCCCTAAGTGTTTTGGTGATTGATGACAATGCTTGTGCGGACTAATCGTGTGCCTTGAGTCCCTCAGATACTTCATCATTAGGCACAAGACGATTCGGTGCCCCTCGGAGACTGTTGAAGCCGGCATTGTTCTACGTTTCTCTTTGGTGGAGTTGAGTCGTAGGAGAGCCGTACTATTAAGAGGGGGTCCGCATCGGAAAGGTAGGGTGGAATCACACGTACACTTGTCCCTCCTTTCCTTGCACTTTGGAGCTACCCATCGTTATCTTGGTTGTGTGGAAAACTGGCGAATACGGATGTACTTGCGGTAGTACCGCAGGTACAAGCGGTAGTACCGCCCCTTTGGTGCGGTAGTACCGCGGCACCCTGGCCTAGTGCCGCTCCGCTGCGGCAGTAGGGGCGGATGTAATTTTTTACATCCGCGCCCCCCACGGTAGTACCCGCCGTCCAGCGCGGTAGTACCGCGGGGGCCCATGGTAGTACCGCTCCCTAGGAGTCGTAGTACCGTGGCCCCTCGGCCTAGTACCGCAGTGTCGCGGTAGTAGGCGCGG